GGTAACACAGAAGAAAAAAAGCAAACTAACGCTGAAGGGTGCCTAAAAGAACGTCCATTAGATAATGAAAAAAACAAATGTAAAAATCCGATTCAATATTTTTTTTGTTTTATTATTGTAAATTTTAAGTAAATAAAAAAATATATTTATTTTTTAAAAGATAAATTTAAATGGGCAAAAGATAAAGCAAAAGCTTGTCAACAAAAAATTTCTTGTAGTATATTTTTGTTTAAATTTATATAATTTTTTATATTAACGATAATAAAATTTTCTTGTGAAGCATTTATTTAATTTATTTTGTTTTTTATCATTTATTTATGTTAGCTTGAAAATAATGGATTTGATCTGCTGAATATTAATCACAACATTATAAATAAAATATATATAATTGCAGCAACGATTAATGAGGATTTAAATTTTTAATAAAAATATAGAATTTTTATTAAAGAAAATAAATGCCCTTTAAAAATGATAAATTCTCATTGAAGTAGATTATGTATATAAAAAAGATTACAGGTTTATAACATTAAAATCAATTTTTAATTCATTAAATTAGTAGGGAGAAATTTGCACATTCTTTACTAATTTGTTTGTTCAATAATATAGCAAAATCAATGAATATACAAATAACAAATCATTATCTTAATAAAATTTTTTAACATAAAATTTTAACAAATTAATACATAAAAAAAAAATGTAAACCATATCATAATTAGAATTTAAGTTAAAATTATTATATATGTAATCTATATAATTTAATAAATATATTATAAATTTTTTTTTTAATGATAGTTTATAAGAAATACTATCTATAATAGTTTTTACATTTGTTAAAATTATTGTCATTATAACTTAAAATTCATTATATTTAAAAATATTTTTTTCATAATTGCTATTGTTGCTTTTTAACATATTTATGTAGAAACTTTTAGTAAAATATGTACACATATTTTTGCTTTAATTATATATCATTAAGTTATAAAAATGATTACTTCAGTGTATTGTTTATTTTTATTGAGATTTATATATTATTATTACATAAATTATAAAAATTAATATAATTTTTATATTTATTTAAAATCTTTTTTTTTTTTAAGATTTTTATTGTCATATATTTCAAATTATTTACCTGAATAAGACATTTCACACATAGCTGTGAATTTATAATTTAAAATGCATTTCATAATTTCTAAAATTTAATTCCTCCAATAATAAATTGTTATGTAAGAAATTGAATCATAATTAAAATAAATTCAAATTTATGTAAATTACATTTTTATTATTGTTTTAATTAAAACTACCATTATACGCACAAATGTAAATAAGATTATGATACCTTGTTTTTATTTTTTTCAATATTTATTCCTATATATCATAAATTTTTTATCAAATATATTTTAGTGGTTGTATGTTAAAATTGTTTATGTTAATAAAATTTTATCACTATAACGTATATCAATTGTCTTAATTATATATTATTTATAAACATCCTTCATTAATATTAAATCAATTTATGTATCTTATGATATATTGGTCATTATACCACAATCACTTTTCGAAATGATACAAATTAAATTATATAATTTATTAATATAAAAAATATTAAACAATTGTAATATTCGATAACCAAGATATTCACCAATATAATGTGTTTATCATTAAACTTATTTTTTCTTTTATTATCCTTTAAAAAAAAAAATTTTAATTTTTTTTTTAAAAATTTTTTTTATAATTTTGAATCTTTAATTCATTTAGAATAAACATAATTATTTTTAAATTCATACATTAATATTAAATAAATTAATTTTCTATAATTGTAGTTTATTTTTATAATTTATTTCGAAACTTCAAACAATTTTTTCTATTACAGAAAAAATTTCGATATTTCAGTAAAAAAAACATGCTTTATAAAGAAAGTATATCTTATTAATATTTTTAATTTCAAAAAAAAAAAATTTTTTTAGTTAATATTTTTAAATTTTTTATATTTACGCAATATTATTTATTATATTAAATATAAAAAATTAAAAAGAATAATTATAATAAATTATTAATCATTTACATAAGTTAATGCAAAATTATACAATAATATTAAAAAAATAAAATGAAATAATCATTTCTCAAGTAATATTTTAAAACAAAGTTCTCTTTCCCTCTCTCTCTCTATATATATATATATATTGATAAAAAAAAATTTATAAATGTTTAATTAAAAGTAATATTTACATATATTATATATTATATTATATTTTTTATCCTTGTGGAATAATAATTAAAACGAAAAATAAATAAATGCAAGCATATAATTACAAAAAATAAAAACAAAAAACATGAAAATAAGTTAAATCTTAGTAGTATGTAAGTAAAATAGAAGAATAGTCATGTAAATGTAAATTAAAATAAATATAATACTATCAATACTATTATTTTATATAAAAATATAAATAAGTAAATATATAAAATAAAAGAGAAAAACAATTACATATATAAAATGAGAAATAATATGCATAGAAGATTCAAGGAATGAAGTTAATGCAATTTAAAATTGTAATCTTTTTTTTATTCTTTACTTTTTTTATTTAGTTTTACAGCATACTACAATTGACATTTTATTTTATTAAATATGAAATGTATAAATCATATGTTTAGATAAAAAATTTATTTGAAATTACTTCTAAAAATATGCTTCCTTTATTAACGAAAAAAAATAAAAAAAAAATTAATTTTTTAAGATATACCAATTTGAGATTCATCAAAAATTAAAAGATCATAATGAAAAACATAACTTTCTTTTTTTAATACAGTATAATGATGCACTTTCTACAAGTGCACTTTATATTGAACTAATTCTTCTTTATTATATTTAATTTTATTATATCTAATAAGATTCCTTTAAAAATGGTAAAAGAAAAAATAAAATCCATAATTATAAAATAATAAAAATATCTTAAAGGAGGAAACAAAAATGGCTAAAGTTTTGAAAGTAAGCATTTAAATAATAAAACGATACAAAAGAAAAAAAAATTAAATAACGATAAAAAAAAAACTTTTAGTATATATAATTATTACATAATTATAAAACAAAAAATTAAAAATGTCATCAATAAAAATACAAGAAAAAAAATAAAAATGTATTTATAGAATATGTATCTATTTTGTTGTGACACTTATTTTTCGTTATTACCATAATCCTTCTAATGTTTAATTTAAATTAACGTCGCATTTTTTATTGAATTAGTACTAATTGTCATAATAAGTTAAACGAGGATAAAATTGCATGTTTTGAATAAATAATTTTTAAAAAAAGAAAAATAAATAAAAAAATATATAAAAATAAAAAAAAAAATTTAAATCCTTATATAATTGTATCTAAATGTAAAGTATTCTAAAAAAATTTTAAGTAAAAAAAGAATATAACATTTTTTTTTTTTGCATATCTAAATAATTTTTTATATTATTCTTTTTTAATTTAAATAAAAAAATTAAATAAAAAAATGAAAAGGAATATTTATTTTGTAAGTATAAAAAAATAACTAAAAATTTATTATTTTCTTATTATCTAAAAAATATTTCTATTATGAAAAATATAATTAAAAATATATAAAAAATAAGAGGTTACAGTTTATAATTGATAACATTAGGATTTAGGATGTAGAATATAGGATGTAAGATATAGGATGTAGCATATAGGATGTAGGATATAGGATGTAGCATATAGGATGTAGGATATAGGATGTAGAATTTAGAGTTTAAATTTATAAATGTTTATGTTGTAGTTATAAATTTAGCTTTTAATAGATATTTCTCCGCTAAAATTTAATAAAAAATTTTTAAATTAATTTTCTTCTTAAAATCATGTTGTTATAAGTTTTTATTTGTTAATTTTTAATTTACATTTCCATATTTTTTGTTTTTAACTTATATTATCCTTACTGAAAAAAAAGGGAAACATTTTAAAAATTACTAAAAAAATATTAGAAACAGTTTCTCAATAATTTTTTTTACATTTTTAGAGATACCAAAAATGAATCTTAATCTTAGTGATGCTATTAATATTGATTCTAATAAGAGAATAAATGAGGGAGATTCAACTGCAGATTTCGCTCATAGGGTAATTAAAGATGCAACTGTTTCAATACCAGAAAATCCATTATATGATGATTCGAATTTGCGTGATACCATTCAAAATCCATCTGAAGATATCAATTTGGATTTAGCTCCATCAATAAATCTTCTTCGTAAAAAGCCGTTAAGTATTTTTCAGTTAGTTATCATTATTATTTCTTTCCTTCGTTTTGTGGTAAAATTAAGATTATAATTAAAATCCTCATATATATTATAAAAACAAAATTTTAAATCATTTGTAATAATTTGTAGAGAGCTTACTCTCCTAGATTGAGAGCTAAGCATAAAGAGAGAGTTATGTTGCAGAATAAATGGGATAAAAGGGATAAAAAAATGAAAGATGATTGGGAAAAGATGGAAAAAAAATGGAATGAAAGGAAACAAAAAGAAAATAGAGAAAAGGAAAAGTTAAATAAAAAAAAAGAGGAAAGGAAAAAAAAGACAAATAATGAGATGGAAGAATTTAATAGGAGATGGAATGGAGAAAAAGAAAGAGAAAATGATTCAGAAGATAAATCCTTGAAAATTTTGAATCCTTCGAGTGTAAGTGGAAAAAATATTGAGTCCTTGAATGAAGAACAATACCACATTTATTTGGATGAACAAAGTACAAGCCAAGCATGTAATAAAACTTTTAAAAAAAAAAAAAAAAATAATATGCCTTCGAATAATAAAGGAGAAAAATTGAAAGGAAAATTTTCCAATAAACTAAAATCTGAACTTGAACTTGAAAAAAAGAGAAGAGAAGAGCTCTTTCGTCAAGTGGTTGAATTAGATGAGAAATGGAAAAAATATGAAGAACTTTGTATAATGAGAAGCGAATGGAAAAAAGAAGAAAGAAAAAAATTAGAAGAAGGAAGAAGAGAAAGAAGGAAAAAACACGAGAAAAAAATGCTGAAAGAAAATGAAGAGCGGAAAAAGCGCATGATAGAAAAAAATAAAGAGTGGGAAAATAGAATGATAGAAAAAAATAAAAAGTGGGAAAATAGAATGATAGAAAAAAATAAAGAGTGGGAAAAAAGAATGCTAAAAGAAAAAAAAGAAATGGATGAGTGGGAAAAGAGAATGCTAAAAGAAAAAAAAGGAAACGAAAAGTGGGAAAAGCGGATACTAAAAGAAAAGGAAGAGGGGGAAAAGATAATGCAAGAAGAAAAAGAAGAATGGGAAAAGGAAATGCTAAAAGAAAAAGAAGAGTGGGAAAAGAAAATGCTAAAAGAAAAAGAAGAGTGGGAAAAGAAAATGCTAAAAGAAAAGGAAAAGTTGGAAAAGAGCATAATGGAAAAAAATGAAAAGTGGAAAAGAGAAGAAAATATGAAAGTTAATGATGAAGAAATTAAGTTGAATTTAAAGTGGAAAAAAGAACTTGATAAGATAAAAGCAAAAGAAGGTAAAAAAATAAAAAAAATACAAATACATATATAAATATTATTAGGAAAAAGCATTTATATAAGTTAATTATGAATTTTTATTTTTTTGAAAATGTAGTATCTTATTTACTTTTAAATGTTTACAGAAGAAGCTTGTTAAACTAAATTTTATATATTTTAACATTTTTAATTTATTTAGCTTTTTATTATCTACTTGTTTTATTTAATATTAAATAAATATTGTAGATAGCATCTTTTAATAATTATATATTTCTGCTTTTATCAAAGATGAGAAATAACCCAAAATGAAATATTCCTTAGTTTTCATTCTAAAATTTGTTATGTATTTTAAATGTATGTGTTGTATGTATTATAAATTAATCATATGATTAGATAATGAAAGATTTACTTGTAGAGAATTTTCAAAATATTGCTTTTTGTTAACCTAATTCAAAGATGTCTCTATTATAATTTAAATGCAATTTTATTTCATTCTTATTAATTTTTATATCAGAAAGATAATTCATTATCCATTTGCACGTTCTATAATTTACATATCTGTTAAAAATATAAAAAATATAATATATTATTAAATAAATACCAGAAAATCTATTCCATTAACCAAAAAAAAAAACAAAAAGAAAGAAAATAATATAGTTTTTCAAAAAGGAGGATATATAATATATATATTACTTGTATTTCAACTTTATATTTTAAAAGAATCATTAAAATAAGATACCAGAAAATTTTAAACATAAAATGTTATATAATATTTTTCTTATTGTAATTTTTATGTTTATATTCCATTTATATTTATAAAAATAATTACATTTATTTTTAATAATATCATTTAATAGATTAATTTT